TTGACCTCGTGATCCACCCACCTCGGCCTCCCAAAGTGCTGGGATTACAGGCTTGAGCCACCGCGCCCGGCCAATAATGACACTCTTCATCAATTTCTTAGCTTTGCCACTGACAAAGATTCCAATACTGCCCATGAATAAAACAGATCTCAACTAGTAGTCAAATTTTACAAAAAAATACTTGCAGTTAGGTTTTAATGACTAGCAGTAGGTAATATGCACTCAATGCACATAAATGTAGATACAAATATCCACTGATACACACCTGAAACACCGAAATAGCACACACACTGACCAGAATCACGACTCTAACATCCACCTTAGGGGCCAAGCGCCTGCTATAGTAGTGGTAGTAATGGCTGTAGTACTCTTCTGGGTGATCCAGCATGTAGTCATAATCTTTTCGTGTTTCTTCATCCTGTAAAATGACAAGATATCCAACTTCATAGGATAGTCCATTAAATGGCCTTGGTTTATCATCTGTTAAATCAAATCTAGAATTTTATGATTATGTAAGGTTAATCTGAAGAAAAATACTGAAATTGTCAAAATCAAAAAATTTCCCATTACTCTTCAAAGCCATGTAAATTTCTAGAACTTCAATATTAGATATAAAAGCATAACAAGAAATATTTCTGTAAGTTCTTGAGTATTGTTAGTCCTCCTGGAAAAATAAAAACGATTTAGTAACAATTAACCATTCAACCTTTTTAGCTAATGCTTAGTGCTAATAAAAACCTGTTCACAATTACTCTTAACAACTGCTGATTTTTTTAAATGCTTATTTCTTGTATATATTCACAATCACGTCCCAGCCTTGTAAAGATAGTTTTCTGCTAAAAGCAATGATTAAGACAGCAAAAAGCAGGTGAAGCCAGCCTGTGCCTACAAAACTGAATTATGTCCATCTCAAAGAAACACAGAGACACCCATGCAGCACAATGGTCAAAGTCCAGCTTTGTGACCTTAGGTAAAATATGTAGCCTCTCTGAGCCTCCCTCTTCATCATTTACAAAAAGAGCTAACAATCCCTGCCATACTATTTTTACATGGTTGTTGTGACTATCAAAATAACATACATTATATAAAAACATGTTACAAACATGTAGTACTTTATTACTATAATGTGTTGTGACAGCCCAGGTCAAAATGAGGTAACATACAGATCTTTCTTACCTATACAAACTCCTTGAAAGACTTACAGCATTACAAAATGCTGCTCTGTATGTTCAGATAAAACATTTAGAAAAAAATTCTCTGATGCTAATCAATTTCTAACAGGAATAAATTTCAATTTGCCCCATTTCAAAAAAACATTAAGGATAAAAACGATTATAAAATCAAGACAAATTCTTTAATCTCTATACATGAGTATAATAAAAACCATCACAAAAACAAGTCTGTTTTGCCAGGTGTGGTGACTCATGCCTGTAACCCGGCATTTTGGGAGGCCAAGGCGGGAGGATTGCTTGAGCCCAGGAGTTTGAGATCAGCCTGGGCAGCATAGTGAGACCTCGTTTTTACAGAAAAATTTTTTAAATTAGCAGGGCGTGGTGGCATGTGCCTGTAATCCCAGCTTCCCAGAAGGTTCCCCAGCTGGGAAGTCACTTAAGCCTGGGAGGTCAAGAAGGCTGCAGTGAGCTGTGATCATGCCATCACACTCCAGTCTGGGCAACAGAGCAAGACCCTGCCTCCCCCACCCAAAAAGTGGGGGGGGGGAGCTTTTTTAAATTAGAGGAATAAATTATTCAACATTTATTAAGTTGTAGATTCCTAAAGGTTATTTCAAAATCTAAACTTAGTGCCTTGCAACTGCAGACAGATTATCTGGGGTCTGTTCAGGACTACTTTCTGAGTCCTCCAATATGTAGTTTCTTAGATTTAATGTAAGAAATTTGCTAATGACAAAATCTTCCTTGTATCCATTAAAATCATTATGTATTTTCTATTAAGAATTTTGGGCCGGGTGCAGGGGCTTACGCCTATAATCCCAGCACTTTGAGAGGTCAAGGCAGGTGGATCACTTGAGGTCAGGAGTTCAAGACCAGCCTAGCCAACATGGCAAAACCCCATTTCTACTGAAAATACAAAAATTGGACAGGCATGGTGGCTTGCACCTGTAATCCCAGCTACTCAGGAGGCTGAGGCAAAAGAATCACTTGAACCTGGGAGGCGGAGGTTGCAGTGAGCTGAAATTGCACCACTGCACTCCAGCCTGGGCAACATAGTGAGACTGTCTCAAAACAAAAACAAAAACAAAAACAAAACAAATTTCAATTTGTGTGAGATCATTCTCATTAAGTTCTCCAATATTCATTACATTCAAAACATTTCTTACCTCTCACCGTATATGAAACTATGTAAACTGGTATCTAGCTTAATTAGATATGAATATATTTATATGGAAGGCCAATATGAAAACTGTCAGTTATACAAGGAGGCATGAGCTCAAGCTAGTATTATTTTCAGATTCACTCCTTGTATGTTCTCTTCAGTCAAAAAGGATTTTCCTGTGGCAGCTGCCATATGCCTCACCTGTCAATCCATGATTCCTTCTTTAAGTCATCATCCTATTCCAGAGCTTCTAACCTAGAAAGGGTAAACCTATATAAGGGTCACACAGACAGCCCTGAAGACTAAACCCAGTGTCTCTTCATGTGTCTCATTTTGAGTACTTCAAGAAATCATCTGAGAATTCTTCCATTCTCCTCTGCTTTTGGGGCTAATTTTATAGAAACGCCCTGTTTTGGAGCCTAAAATCCTTGACTTTAACTTAGTGTCCCAATCATGACAGATGCCTTTTGAAATGTATTTCTTCAGATACAATTCTTCTTGCTACAACTAGATTACACGTAACTTTTAAACTAAATGCCATGCTGAGATCAGATTCCTATGAGACTCCAACATCATTGTCTCTGTGCAGCCCTTTGCCCGGCTGTCTGTACTCCTCCTGGTTGAAGTATATGGATTAAGGTCTTTGAGTGTCAATGAAATCTGGTATATGGACATCATGTGTCCAATGACTACCTTCTCTTCTTTTTGTTCTCTTATCTCTGTTCCACAGAATGCAGATATCATCCCTCTTCAAGCATTTCACTCAGACCTTTCACCACGGTCACCATTTTCTCACTGGTTTCTAGATTATTGGCTTCACCAAGTCGTGAACTCCTTTAACACAATGGTCAACTAAGGCTCCAACACAGGCAACTCCAAATGTATACCTTGTGTCTGGTCTCTCTACTGCAAGCAGAGCCTGTGGAGTCTGTTCAGGGTCCCCTACTGGAGTCCTCAAACTACCAAATTCCTGCAAGACATCTCAGGGTCACGTCTGACTCCTCTTTGGATGGTTTTGAGTCACCACAAGTTTATGACCCTGTTTTGGCTATGATTAGACTAAAAAGTTGGCCACTTCCTTGTTAGAGCATTTATTCCATTTATTTTATCTCCATTCTACAGCTTAAAGCTTTCTCTCCAAAGTGAAGAAAATGATCAGTTTTCATGTACACTGATAATGATCAGTGAGGCATGCAGACACTTTAGAAGGTCTTATCAAGGGCAGCACAAATTGGTAAAACTTAGGAGTTCTCAATAGCCTAAGTCAAAATCCTGCTCTTCAGTAAACATTTAGAATCAACCTAGTAAGAACAAGAGGATACCAAGAATATTAGCAAAGAAAAGACAGAATAAGGACCATCTTTTTTTATGGTACTCAAGTAGAGAGCTAAGGTACATTCTAATTTTAATATCATATTTTTTTTCCTACTCATCTTGAACTAAGGTAGCCACAGAATTTATTTATTTATTTTTAATCTCCAATGCTTTCCCATGGCCAAAGTTAAAATTTCCTTCCTATGCCATCAGGCCTTCACAACTGGTCCAAACTTGCCTAGCTAGCAACATCCCTTATCAGTTCCCCTCTTTTACCCATAGCAAACATTCAGACAGCAATTTCTGGAATTTGGTGTGTTATTCCAACACAACGTTTCTTTTCATACGTATGTCTTTGAACATATATTTCTCTCTAATTTGAACCTCATGAGTCCTATTAATCCTTTAGAATGTGTTACTGTCTCAGACATTAGGTCGTTCTTATTACATTTGGCACCTATTTATTATAGCACTTATCACATTGTAATCATCAGTTTTTTTCTTAGAATGAGAATTTCTAGAAAGTAGGTAGGGTAACTCATTCATATCTGTATATCCAAGGCCTAGCACAGTGCCTGGCATTCAGTAAACGTTATTTCAAAAACAAGTGAACTTTTGTGAAGGTTTTCCCTGGCAATATGCCCGCCACTACATAGATCTCCATCTCACCAGCAAGGCTGGATGGGTGGCGATGTCACAAAAACTTCAGTTTGGCAGAAATGACTACTTAAATCCATAGCCTATGAAAATATGCTACTGTGGCTAATATAGCTTAAACCTTAAAACAGTTTAATATCTTACCTTTCAATAAGGTAGTACTTTTTCTTTCAGCAATTTTGTGGATCTTAAGGTCCCAGGGTCTGGAGATTCCAACTTCTTTCCAAAACCAAAACCTTTATACTTGTTTCTTCCTCCTGTCTGTCCTGAGCCTTGACAAGCAGGGCAATAAGCTCCTTGTTTCTAATCTCTACAGGAATAACTGTAGTGCTTCTGCTGGTGTCCATTCCACTCCCAATCCTCGTGGGCATATGCAGGAGGACTGGAACATAACCACCAATATCTAGATCAAAAGTGAACAAGAGGAAACCCACAAGCAAAGAAAGCACTGAATCCTTCCTTCTCTTATAAAATGGATCATCCCCCCTCCCCAGAGGCAAAAATATATTATGTTCCTGCCCTTGAAGGAAATAAATTGTTTGATCTCAGTACATAAATTGCAATAATTTGATATTGCAGCTAGTTTTCACACTTAAAACTTTCTATTACACAGAGTACAAAAAACATTTTTGGGGTGGTAAAGGTCAGGAATCAATGATATATAAAAATGTATTACTGTATTCACTCAATATATATTAATCTTTTTTAAATACACACACACACACACACACACACACACACACACACAAAAATGATCCTTCAAAAAAACAATCTCTGGTCTAAATTTGTTTCCAGGCCATTTTATCCTACAAAAGAGGAAGAAAATTAACTGCTACTCATTTCATTTTTTTCTTGTTTCCTGCCCACCAGTCACTAGTGCAGCTTATCTTCTCTATCTTCTCTCATTCTGCACATAGACTCAACAACTTCCAAGATTTGGAATATTACCGACATACTAGTAACGCTTATATCTGTTTTTCTTGTCTCCTCCTATTCTCAACTATGTCCTGAACATTTTCCAAATGCAAAATATCTCAAACTAATGTGCCCCAAAACCAAATCTATTCCTCTGTGTTTCAGTTAATACTATCACCATCTACTCGGTCACCTGAGCTTTTAGAAACCTTAGTTGTTTTCATTTCATAAATGATGAGGCAGGGCATTAGGC